ACATACATGATACATACATGATACATGCATGATACATAATTCAAAGTAGGGTACTTTGGCCCGGGTTGGCATATATAGCAGACTCGCGATGCCCAGGGTCAGAGGCCGCTCGAGCCGCCCATCCTATGCTCCGGGGAGCTTGTTCGCCATTCGGCACTCTGGATGATAAACTTCCGTGTTGAGGCTGCATTCCATGCCGTTGTTTGGAAGCCAGGGCAACACCCCTATCGCGTTGAGGTTCAAGGGCCTACTAGCTGGGATGCCTCTTTGGGTTCCTTCTCTGGCCGGTTTGGGCGCCGTAACCCGGGGCCGTGGGCACCGGTTCATGGGCAAACTCCGAAGATGTTCACTTGTGCCTTCGAGAGCGTGACCATGTCATTGTTGAGGAGGTCACCCAGCAAGGCCGCGACGAGAAACTGACAGGTAGATGCCTTACTATCAACCAGGCTGCCACCAAAGCCTCCCTTCGTCGGGCCTTGGCTCTTCCCACTGATGACATTTGGCTTCTCGGTGTACCCGACGCATCTGCTCCGTTGCCACCGTTGCGGGATGGTGATATTCTTCATTACCGTGCCCCAGCGGCATCTGGTGGTGGCCATCGGTGCCATGCCTGGGCTTTGTTCGGTTTGTGCTGGCTCTCAGGGCGAATACCGATTGCCTCTATCGCCTTTCTGCTTCTGCATGGGGTCGCCACAGTTGGTCTGGCCGGCCCACCCATGCCGCATGATCAGGTTCATTGGTTATGGAGTCCTTACATGTCCTCTCTGCCACTGTTCAGTCGGTCAAGGACTGCAGGAACAATCCCTTCAACCCCTCAGCACATGCAGCTCGCAGGCAGTATCTCTATGACCAGTTGCAAGCGGGGGACATCGATGTCCTCTGTGTGCAGGAGGCCAGGGATCGTGCAGGTAGGTGGGACACTGCTGGCGTCCTTACCTGGCGTTCAGGCACAGTCAAAGGTCAGTACGGGTGCGAAGTTTGGATTCGTCCACGGGTTGTGCAGCCACCGCTCTCGCTGACTGATTTCCGCATCTTGTCCTCCTCCCCGGGAGGCTCTGTACCGTGCGCCGCGACATACGGGGCTCCTAGTTGGCATTGACGCTAACGCCGATTTTGTTGCGGCGGATGAGCACGGACACTTAGTTGGCACTCTGCTGGGCCAACATGAAGAGACTAGGAACGACTCCTGTCTGTTCGAGCTCTGTCTGCAACTCGGGTTGGAATCTCCCGCGACTTTTCCGGACCTGCAGTCTGGTCCAGGCTGGACCTAGGAACACACGAGCGGGCAACGGAAACGCCTTGATCATGTGCTCTTTGCCGCTGGACCCTGGGAGCATAGTCTTTGCTGTCAGGCCCTGGACTTTGACCTTGCCAACTCACAGCGCGATCATGTGGCGATCCGTGTTCGCACCCGTCTGAGAGCACCGGGTGGGCGGCCCAGATCTCGTGGCCAATGCCGCTGTGTGCCGGAGGTTGTCAAGGAACATGGTTTGACACTCTGGCAGGTCGTAGACGTCGTAGACCCTTTTCAGGGGGGCAGGTCGCTGATCTCCTTGACAAGTATGGCCAATGGTGTCGATCGCTGCCCCGTCGGGCACCTTTGCGCCCACGCCAGCCCTACCTCTCTAGTGTTACCGTCGCGCGACTGCAGGCACGGTAGCTTCGGCAATCACGTGATCAGCTCTTGCTTTCTGCGCATATGCAGGCCTGGCGTCCAGGGCGCGGCAGGCACAGCCGCGTGCGCGCCGCTCGCACGTCTCTCTACATCTTGCCGCCGTTGAGCATCATATCCACGGCTTGGCTCGTGGGTCGTGGGATCCATCGCAGTGCACGCCAGGACAAACTTTCCCACTTCCTGCACCTGACGCAGCAGGCCACCGCTAGTTGGCACCAGCACGGAAAACCGGCCGAGGCTATTGTCCACCTGAAGTGGGCTTCCCGTCGCAGCGCCGACCGACGGGCTGTGCATGCAGCCGGGGGCTATCAGATCGAAGATGCTTTGGAGGAACAGTTCAGGGCGCAAGAGGGCGCGCAGCAGGTCACTGCCGCAGGTGCACGATGCGATCGAGGTTTGGTGGAGTCAGCCGCCATCCCCTCGCTTGCCGACACTGAGGGTGCTGTTCGGCGACAGTCTGCTCGCAAGGCGCCGGGGCCAGATGGGATACCTAATGAACTCTGGCGTGAGTTTCCCGTCCATTCGGCGACCTGGTTCTGGACTTTGTGTGTTCGGATTGCCCTGGTTTGCAAAGAACCTCTTGAGTTCAAACGGGCCCTAGTGTGTGCACTCTATAAGAAAGGACCCGCCGCCCTGCCTGAAAATAACCGTTCCAATGCCGAACTCAACGGGATGGCGAAAGTTTGGCATGGGCACGTCAGACGTACCGTTGGCCAAACAGTACTCGGCCGCTACGACCCTCTGCAGCTCGGAGGGAAGGCTGGGGTCCCGGTTAGCTTCGCTGTGGCCGCATACCGAGCGGCGCTGGACCTTGTACTGCTCAAGGTCGGTGCACGGCCGTGTTGTTCCTCGACATTCAGGCGGCATACTACGAGGCCAGCCTCAACCTTTTGTTTCAGGGTGATCCACAGGGGCAGGTGCCTCCTGACTCTCATCTCCGGCATCTTGCGGCCCTGGTCAGTTCTCTCCTGCAACAGGGCGCCCTTGAATTGCTCGGCGTGCCACCAGATGAAATTGGTCTGTTGCACGACTGCGTAGCTGTTTCGCACTGGCGGCTTGTGAGTTCTGACAATCTCTTTCTCGCGACTCGCGGGTCGAGACCAGGGGATGGACTTGCTGACGTCCTCTTCGGCGCACTCTTCGCCATTGCCCTCCGGCATATTCGAGCGGTGTGTCTCGCCGAGGGCTGGGGGCACGTCAGTGCCGGCTCCCAGATTGGGAGGGACGATGCCGCTTTGCAGCTCGGTTGGGCAGACGACCTCGCCGTCATTACTGACTTTGATTCCCCCGACGCCTTGCGCCAACAGTTTCCCCGCGTTGCCACTGTTGTCCTTACTACCCTTCGCCACCTTCGGTTTAGGGTTAATTTAGGTGCGGGTAAGACTGAGGCCCTTGCTTACGTTCGGGGAAGCAACGCAGTCGCAGTAAGGGCTGACCTCTTGGGCGGGCAAGCGTGCCTTGAACTGCCAACGGGGGATTCTTTGCGCTTCTCTCCGGAATACCGCTACCTTGGTGTCATTCAGACCGTCAGAGAGAACGGTCGTCGTGACATGGAACTTAACGCTCAGCGAGCCAGCGCGGCGTGGGCACATGCAAGAGCCCTCCTCACCAGCACGATGTTGCCTTGGGCCCTCAAGCAGGCATGGCTCACTGGCCGCGTCTTGCCCGCGGCCTACGCCACGCTAGCCACCTGTCTTGCTGTCTCTCAAAGAGCTCTTGCTCCCCTCACAGGTTTCTTTGAAAGGGCGGCACGGACACTTGTCGGGTCCTGGCATTAAGGGCATGTGTTGACGCGCTCCTCATTCTCATGGGACTGTGTGACCCGTGTTGTGCCCTGACGGTGGCGCGAGCTCGCTTAGTGATGCAGTTGTTGCACAAGGCACCCCCGACGGTGGGCGAGTTGTTCGATGCCGCCTGGAATCGATGGTGCCGCGTCCGCCTGGGTCTGCTCCGAGGGTCCCCACCATCCTGTGCCTGCAGAGCCTGCACCGTCCCGTCACGGTTGCCTGTCGCTTCCTGAGTCGTTGGGGGACATCGCACGCGGCTTTTGCTGATTTGTGGCAAGACGTGGTCTTGCCCCGTACTAAGAAGGTGCTAGGGGTTGGTGGTACCTTTGTTTGCGCCATGTGCCAGTCGCAGCACCCTAGCCAGCATGCCCTAGCAGCCCACGTTCACCGCAAACACTCAGCCGATTGCCGGACCAGGTATACCAACGGTACCGTCTGTCTTTGGTGCCACACTGACATGCGATCAACCGATCGCCTGAAGTACCACCTGCGGACCACTCGTCACTGTCTGCACGGACTGAGGGTCACTGTTGGCCTCGCCTATGAATATGGTTCGGGCACGAAACGGGGCGGCCGTCGTGGCCATGTGGGGCTGCCTTCTTCGCGTCTTCCTGGGCCTCTCAATGCCACGCCCGCCCAGTGACAGGCTGCTCAGGAAGGCCGGCTCTGCACTGATGCCGAACTCTCCGCGGAATTGTTCGCTGCTACGGGGACGAGGGATGTCCATGATTGGCCGTCCGAAGTCCAGGCTCTGGAGCCGCTGGCACTGGTCGATACGGACCCTGCGACTTCTCAACCGGGTGAAGTGAGATCTCTTGGTGGTGAGGCCGAGACACCCAGCTCCTCTGATGCTCGCTGGTTCCAGTTCGTGCCGCTCTCCCAGGCTGATGTGGCTCTGGAAGAGGGTGTTATGATCGCCACTCCCCTTTGGGCTGGTCTACGACATCTTCACGGAGTCTGGGGTGGACCTTCATGTGAGCTCACTGACTTGCTGGCAGCTACCGTTTCGTTCCGACAGGTCTGCTCCTTCTTGCAGGACTCCGGGATGATGTGGCTACCCGGGAAACCAAGCAATGCTGGCATTCAGCTCATGCGCCAGCTTTTACCGAATGCTCGATTTTCTACTGTACAGACCGACTCTGGGCCAGCCTTTGCAGCGGCACACCCAAGGTGTAACCCCCAGACTTGGCGGCCCTCACTCCAGCGCTTGCGTGCTTTTGCGCCTCTGGTGACTCCCTTGCGTGCCTCTCTCGTTTACCACACTCGGTCTCTTGCTAGAGGATGACTGACGGCTCTTGACGCTGTTGTGGTTTCTCGCCTGGGCGGTCGCTGATGGTCTTCCTCTCGCCTGCCCGGGTCTCTTCCGTTTCGGCTGTGTGAGGGCATAGCTCTCTCCACTTTTGCCTCTGCATGTTGGACGAACCGGACCTTCCGCATCGAGTGAGTGAGTGAGTGATAAGGTTTTAAGGTTTAGGGTTTAAGGTTCATAGGTTTAGGGATCCTTCGGCCTTTGCAGCGGGAGCCAAGCTGTGTGGAGTCCACGTAGGGCAGGAGATATCGGCGGGTTGTGCCGTGTGCAACGTCTGGCCACATTCCATGTCCACGAATGCGCACTGCCACTGTAGGACTGCGTGGCCTGTGCCTTCAGCTTGCCGTCCTTGCGCACACGCCGCAGCCGTCGCTCCTTCCCTGCTTTGCCAGCACGCTGTCCAAGCTTAGCTGTCAGATCACGGATGATATGCCCAGCTATGCTCGGACGCGTCTCCTGACGGTGTCCCGTCTGACCGCACAGCCGGCAAGCATGCTTCGCGTGAGACATGACTTCCACTTGAACCGAAATAAGCCACGTTCCAGGGCGCTCGGCTCACAGCCACATGCGCATGCGGAAGTGACGTTCCTGCCGCGTGTTTCTCACATGCATGCACAAAAACAACGGCGTCAAATACGCGCAAAGCGCGTACTACTACTACTACTACTACTACGACAACTACTACCACCTCTACTCCGGGAGTAGGAACCCTCACTTGCAAAGATCCTGCGGAAGTATTTCGCAACATCAAGTTGTTTTCTTTCCTTGACAGACTACACTGACTTGGGCGACGAATGCTGGGGAGACGTCTAGGAATCGAGGTTTTTCGTTGACCCTGACCCTGATGGCATTACAAGCCCAAAGGACAGGGCTTGCGTTGCAAGCAGAAGGCGGCATGCAGGGGATGCATAACTTAACAGGGGAAGTCAGTGGCTGTTGGGGAATACTGGTGCGGGCAGAATCCGTGAAAATTGAGCAAAGGCAACACCGTGCGCGCCACACTGATCGACACCGAGCTGAACCTGACTCATCCAACCGGGAAGTTTGATTGAATGTGGTGTTTCAACGGCCCGACTCTGAAGGGTCAAGCTGAAGGCCGGTACTTTCATGTATGATAGCATGTCAAGCAAATGGAGCATCAGAATCTATCAGAAAATGACGGAAGATTTTCTTGCAAGACTGCAATTCTCGAAGCACGCCTTTGCATCCAAAACAGCAGAGTACGGCTGCAACCTGCACAAATCGTCGGATGTTTATCAAATGTGCAGGATCTGTTGCTTGCACATTGAAATTGTCCTACCGAACCCGTGTATCCATGCATTTCGCCGACTTGATTTCTGTGTTTTGCAAGGTCTCTTGCTTGGCGGAAAGCCTGAAGCTTCTCTCAGCATCCCTGCAGATCCTGGAGTCGTGACAGAACTGATTGGAGCGGGTGAACGTTTCTGTCATGTGGCCCATGGCTGATCGTTGAGTTGGCGTGGGAAGAAGCTTTCGGGCTTCCGAGGATCTCAGCGACAACTGCCTGTCGGTGACTTGTCTGTGGTCTTTATTGGTTGGTCGCCAGCCTGGAATTGTGATTATGCAGTAGAGCACCACCATGGCCAACGTATGTTTCGTAAAGCTTCCTTCGAGCTAGGCTGGCAACAAATGGCAAACATGACACGCCGCCATCAACCTACAAGCCGTTTCTTTGCAGGGGGTTGGTGCAAAGAAGCTGGCGCGCATGTTCTTCGCATGCGAGGGAGGTTCGGCACGCCCACACTCGAAACCTTGCAGCGCATGTTTGCATGCCCTTGAGGCACAGCGCCACGCTTGCAAGCCACAGCCCCTGGCGAGTGAGATTCGTCGCCTGAGTGCTGCTGAAGAACCAAGTGTCACGGTGTGTCTGCGTATCGCTGCCGGTGGTCTTTCCCAGGTCAAGCCTCGGTTCCGGTTGCTGGACTTGTCGAAAAACAAGTTGGATGATCATGGGGTAGCAGGTGAATGAGCCTGTAGTTGCACGGGCATCTTGTGACCAGTGACTTCCAGGTGTGGCTCGGAACATCGCGGCAGGACGCAGGGAGCCAATCAATGCTCATGGGAAGGGGATAGGGTTAACCACTCAAGATGTGCTTGTCGGCGTGAGTCAAGCGGACAGGGGGGGGGGGGTAATTAGGCATGGCAGGAGATCCGATGTGATGCTCAGATACATTCCTGATTCCTTGCATCCGTGCCACATCGTGCAACATGCAGAGCAGCTCGCCAAGCCGGTGCAGCAATATGCTGGTGCTGTATGCCAGGAAAGGTGCTTGCCGGGCCCTATTCTTTGCAGGTGTTTGTAGAGTCTGTAGGTAGAGCACAGCGACCTTGGGAAGACGACCCCTTAACTTAGGCCAAGCAAACACTTCTTCGGCTGCAACACGTGGGATGCAGCAGCCCGCATCTTGAACTTTCAGCTTGACGACAGTGTTAGTATGCATTCATGGGCCTATGAAACGCTCTTTTTGCGAAGGTCAGGGGCTGGCCGACTTTGCCGGATGCCATCTCGCCGGACTCGACATTGGATACAATGCACTGGGCCTCGCAAATGAGCTGCAAGGCTGACAAAGCACCCTGCCCTACGTTCCTTGGAACTGTCCTAGGATGGTGCCAGGGCGCTTCTGGCAGCCAGGCGCAGGCAGCCAAGCAACAATCTCCTAAATTTGCCTTGGAGCAGCAGCCACTGGGCTCCTTGTAACTTAGCGGGGGGCAATCGGCCTTCGAACAAATCCCAAATCTTGGTTAGAAGAGTTCTCAAGTCATCCGAGCCTGGATACCCAACTGCTCCCGCACCGTCAGGAATCGGTGGCACTCGTTGCGAATGTCATGTATTTCAGACTCTTGGATCGAAACTCTTGCCATGCCTTGCGGGCCTTTGCCTCCCCAATGTAGAATGTCTGCATTCCAGTGAAGTCAAATTCTCTGGAGGATGGAGCTAAAGCCTCCGAACCTCTCGGCTGGTCAGCGCTGGCAGCTCGCCAGGATTTTCTCTGCTTGTCTGGCATGCATTTGCGTGTAGCATGTTGTGCACTGAGGCCGGTGGCTTTGACTGCCTGGAGAAGGGCTTGAATGATTTCGAGTGCCTTGGGAGCAGCAAACACAACAACAGAGAGAGACCACATACTGTACTGCTTAAGTCTTTAGTACTACTTCAAGTTTCTGCGTCGATACATCAGGATTCGTGCTGTTGCCCGAAATCAAGCTGTTTGTACTACTCGCCAAAGCTTCCTTAGAAGGTGTAATGGCAACCATTTTGGCGAGAACGCTTGCTGCTGCCTCGCTGAAAACATGAGCAAATGCTTGGATCTCAGAAATGTGACAAAGTGCAGTGAGCTGTTCAGAACCAACCCAGAGTCTCTGGAAGCTTTCAGCGGCTAGGGATTCCGGCCTTGCGGCGGCTCGCCCTCTCCAGCACGGGACAGCTGCATTTACAGCTAAAGCATCTAGAGCTTGCAGGTTTATTGGACCGTGATTAGGCCAACTGCAGTTCAGCTTTCGAGAGGAGTTGGCCTTCGGGCCTGCGGTGCGCTGGGTCAGGGGCTCTGGCCTGGGGCAGGGCTCGCCGGTCTGAAGATCCTGGACATGCGCAGTCATGTGACAGTTCACATTGCATTATCTCCCAATCTATATAAATCACAATTTAGCGTTTGTCCAGCGCGAGGACCTTTCCAACAATCAACTGATCGATGTGTCGGTTGAGTTGCTGTGCAACGGTCTTTCCAGATGCATATCCCTTCAAGAGGTGGGCTGAATAGCACGGATGCGACTTGCACCGTTACGTGATTGCTGTTGCTTTGGGCTTTCGCTGGAAACATCAGGTGGAGCTATCGCACAATGCATCTTAGCTGCAATGGAACTTCGCCGTGAAATTCCCAGTTCTGGAAGATATGATGCATTGCTCCTCCTTGTAGTACAGCACTGACTGTTGCATGCTGTCGCGATGGCAGTGATCTTGGATCAGATCACCTAGACCTAGTGAATCGCAACCGTCGCCCTGAGCCATGTCTTGGAATTGGCAGAAGACTGGAGCTCCCTTCGACGAAGCAGCAAACAACTTCATCGAGCGCTGCAAACTTGACGATGCTTCGATCACACTCCTGCGTTTCTGTCGCAAGTTGGATCCTAAACTGCTTTTGTTGAAGTCATTATGGTGACGGAGAAATAATGGTTGGTACCTGTAGCACAGTGAGGGCTCCCACCCACTCGGTTCTTTGATATCACAGGTCTGGCATTCCGGAGAATGTGAAGGACGAGGTGATATCTAATTTGTCGTTGGACTGGGAAAGAGGCTTATCATACAAGCGTTTCTTCAGAATAGTGCTGGATGCGTGGGTCTCGCAGCTTGCACTCCAACGGCATCGGGACGTGATGAAGTTGATACTGCGCACACCAGAGGAGGCTGAGCTGGTTGTGAGTCCAAACCCACCGTACCGGTTCCTGCTTGTCGACGAATGCCTCAGTTCTGGCTTTCAGATGTGATCCCCACTGACCCAACGCTACCCGAAGCGCGGCCGAAACAGCCTAGGCCTGGGCCCCTAAACGCCATGTGGAGCCTTGCCCGCTTTGCGCGAGTGTGAGTGTCGAAACGGCAGCAGAACGCATCGAAGCGACTAAAGCACTTAATGCTGGGGCTGCTAGGGCCTATACTGTAGATGGCCTGACAAAACCTCAACACGCCCAGGCATGTCCGAGTGTGAGTGCTGAAACACGCCTATGCTGTGAGACTGGACTGAGAGGGAGAGGAGAGGGTTGAGGGAATGGGACGGGCAGGTATTAGGCAGTGTCGCGCCAGGCTTCAGTTCGGATTGAGGTGTGGAGGCAGGTGAGGCTGGGGGTTGAAGCTTTTTCTTGTGACCGAAAGAGTGGAATGAGGAAACGTCATTTTGATGATGGTGTACAGAGTGCATGTTTGTGTTGGTGTTGGCGGACGATCTTGACTCGATCTCGCAGTAAGGGGGACCAACCCCGTAGGGGAAGACACTGATGGCCACGCAGCAAGTGTCTTGTAGTTGGTTTCGTCTTGCACCTGTTTCTCAGCTTCACACTGTTCTGTGGGGGATCGTGTGCCAGTCTTCCTATTAGGTGCTATTGGGAGACTCTCGGATGACCTCAGTCTTTGCCCTCACGGTCTGTCATGGTCATGGTTTAGCAGGGGGTGTGTTCTACATCGATGGAAAGGGACCGTAAGGACGTACCGTTGTGAACCGGGAGGGGTAGGCCCTCGGGCCGGGGGACCCAGTCCCCATACCCCAAACAAGCCAGAAGGAGAGGATTGAATCCCCGAAAGCGGCCCCGCCGCCTAACAGACGCGAACCTGCCAGGGTTCCTTCGAAAACCCAAACCCCGCGCAAGCAAGCAAGCAAGGAGAGGGTTCGAGACCTGCAAGCTTAGAAGTTTCAAGCAACTTGCTCGCTTGGCTGAAAAGGGAGGTTGAGAGGGCGCAGAGGCCGATAAACTAACACGTAGAAGCTCAGGAGGTTACGGAAGGTTTGCCCGGAGAACGCCGAGCCACGCATAGATTCCGGAACGGCCGCCGACACCCAGACCGTGAATGGCGCTGCTGGCCCTGCTTGCTTTGTCCATGGTCGGGTTTTGCATGATCTCCTCGGTCCTACCAAGTTGATGTACTTGCCTTGCAGTGCGAAAGATTGGAATTGAGCGGCAGTTGCAAACCGTTCGCCCGACAATGCGCTAGTTAGCCTTCAGTGGGTGGAGATCGAGTGTTTAAAGCGTAAAACAAGAACCACGCGAGGAATGGCAAGCAACTGCACAATGAAAGGAGTAGTTCTCGTGATTTTGATGTTGATGGTGGTAATGATGAGGATGGCGACGGTGATGGTGATGATGATGATGGTGGTGGTGGTGGTTGACGATGTTGCGGACCCCCATTGGTGATCATGATCATTGGTTATCATCGTGGTGGTGGCGAAGGTCCCCAACACATTTGGAGGACGGTGACGAGGACGGTCATCATCTAGAGATGGTTATTATAGTGTCATTATTCTGCTAGTGATCGTGTTGGAAGCGGTGAGCAACTCGCCATCCCTCCTGTCAAGTGACTAGGAACGTTTACTAAAGACATGGGCTGTGTGAAATCCACAGCCCTTCTTCCGTGGACGGCCATCGTCCTGACTCCTACCCTCTGGCAGCAAAGGCAGATTGATAGTTAGTGTTCCCGAGTCCGTGTTCCGTTTGTGGAAGAAAAATGAACGACCCATGCCGCCTGATGTTTGTCGCCGTGCATTCGCAAATCTGCTCTCAATTTGAGTTTGATCCTAATCTTGATCTGTTCGTGGACTTGGCTACAGACTGTTTCTCGACTATCTTACGTACTCTCCATGCACAAATCGAGACGCGTACTCTCCTGTCCAGCGTTTCGGTTGCCGCATCCACGGTCCACCCCTAGACATTGAACACAGTTGCAGCTATGCTGAAGTGTTTTCGTTCTTCCCTGGGGAGGTTATGCGCATTGTCATGATGAAGTTTGATCCGACCCGCACTAAAGACAAGAATTTGGCCGCAAGGCTCACAGCCTTTCTGAACTCTGTTCTGCGTACAGGGCAGCACGAGCAGGGTGCATCATATCGCGCGATGGTGGCAAATTGCTCCATTGCAGAGAAGGACGTCGGCAGAATATTGGGTGAATGTGGTGCCACGATGAAGAGGATAGTGGATTGCATTTGCGAATGTCTCGGTCACGAGGCGCACAAGCATGGACACCGCCCCTTGGTGCAAATGGCATACAGTGGCGGGTGTGGACGATTCGAACTCGTGCTGTATCCACCTTTCAACAACGAGTCGTCCTTCGAGGACGCTTCTGTTGCAGTGCGTGAGATGGTGCAGCACATCATGGATAATCCATCTGATTTTGTCCAATCGGCCAATTGCAAGATGCCGCCGCGTCTGCAACTCGATGATTGGATGTGCCCGAACAAGAAGTGCAGGAACGTTTGCTTTGCGAGGCGTTCAAGCTGCTTCCAGTGTGGAGAGCCCAAGCCAGCAGAATGGACTCCGGCTCATCTTGCCCGACATGGAAAGCAGAAGAGGATTCGAAACCTGTGCAATTTCATGAGATGTGAGGGTTCGCACGCGAGAGATATCAATCTGGAGAGATCCCCCCTATGCCCTATGCCATTAAGACAGACAAAGCAAGCAGCCTCCTGCTTTCCCTAGCAAGCCTGCGCAAAGGATGCAAACGTTAGAGAAGCGACATTCAGCAAACAGAGGCCACAGCAAAAGGTTGCAGCGGAAGCTTTTCTCTAACACGGGCACAATCTGTGTCATGCTGAAAGCATGACATTGGGAACGTGCGAACTGACCTCGAAGCATTGTCAACAGTAGTAGTACCATGTAGTACCAGTAATAATGCAGTAATCGTACAGACCCCGACAATAGGCCAGTCTGAGACTTGCCAAGATGCTCAAATGACCATACCGAACAGAAAATTCAAAAAGGCTAACATGTTTTGGATGCGTTATGGAGCACGGCCAAACGATGGCAAGAACATTTCAAGCACCAGGAAACGCATTCCAGAGGGCCACATAGTTGAATAATTGTTGAACACAGTGCGACATTACTGACATTACTGCCAAGACATATCGCAAGAAGGCGCAGATCGAGCCGTCGCACAGACAGCAGCTTGAAAAAGATCTCACACCAAGCAGGCCCTAAGTGTTCTGTTTCTGCATTATTTGAGCTGAAATCCCCAAGCAAGCATGTTCCAAATACAGTGAGCTGAGAAGTGCTCAAGACCAATAAACCCAGCAAAGAGCGCTGACTAACTCTAAGACGAGCCTGCTTCCACCACGAACCTGTTCCGTCGGCACGTCACCAGCACGGTCAAGGATGGGATTTCACCTAGAGGGCTGCAGCACGCTTGGTGAACTGTTTCGACTTGTTACTTGGCAGCGAGCATTGGGCTCGCAAGTTGGGGGGAATCGCCGTCGTAGCCTCGTTCGAAAGGAGGATAAGGAAGAGATATGGGCAAGGGCGCAGCCACGCACGGAGGGCAGGGGGCTGCTTGTCTCCTATTATCTGTCATCTTCATTGTGCCGAAATGTGCTAAGGAGTGGTACCCATGAGGGAACTTGTGAAGGAGATGGAGTTGGAAAGCGGTTGCTGCAGAGTACTTTGGCTTATTCCTCCGGAGCAACGCTCAGTCTTGATTGGGCCACAGGGCCGCCAAGTCCAGCAGATAAAGGCGGAAGCGGGCTTGCAAACTTTGCTTCTTACAAGAGAAGCAGAGACGGAAGTGTACTTCGGAGAAGCCTATGCACAAGTGCACCTAGCAGGCAAACCTGACAGTACAAGACGTGCCCTGTCGGCGATTGACTCTCTCGTAGGCGGCCGCCTTGCAGAAGATGGGTTTGAGGAGCTGCTGCGGGCGTCTGAAGCAGCTTTGCGTGTTTCTCCGCAAGGACTGACATTCCAGTGTTTGACGGAGCTGCCTGAGATAAAGGAAGCAATGGGTCGAACACGGATGCTGAGGCAAGCTGTCGGACTGCGCACGCTGTTGGAGGTTTTGTGCCAATGGCCAGAGTGTTTTGCCATTCAGAGGACAGGCCCGCAGGGTGCAACAGTTGCAGCAACGGATCGGTTTCTCAGCACCGCGGCCGCCGACCATGCAAATATCGATGCCAGGTAAAAAAAACTGCTGTGACACACGGAGCGTTAAGCCGTACAGGGGACAGATCGTCATGGGCTGGGACATGGACCCAGCCATACACAACACCGCATCCTGAAAGAATGTGTTCTTGCATGACCTGTCGAAGTCTGAACTGATCTCTGGATTGCTTCAGCCAGTCTTCAGCCTGTACATTTTCCGTACATCGATGAGTCGCCGGCGCGGCATCTACAAGTTGTTTGTTTGCCTGATAAGGGTGTGCGGGACCCGACACCAGCATCAAGCACAGCTGCCTCAGCATTGGAGCCCACCCAACCCCTAGGCCTGCGCTGCATAGGGGCACCCTGGCTGAGTCGACGATGCTGGTTTTGCTCAAACAGTGCTCCCCATCCCCGGCGGCCGAGCATAAGCAACTAGCGCCAAAGTTGCCAGACTGGCTCCGCCCACTTCCAGGCCCATCCTGTACACAGGCCGAGTATTTCTTCGGCTGTGTCTTGCGAAAAGCCCTCACTCAGACATGCACGAATGCTCTCCGCTTGAACCTGCACAGCACTGAGGACTGGCTTCTAGGGAGCGGGTGTCGAACGGCCCCACCATGCAGTGCAAATACACGAAAACCAGCCTGGATTGTTTAGCTAGGGGAAAGGCACGTTGGTTGACACGGGAAGGGGGTACGACTGGCGTAAGCCTTTGAGTTTGAGTCTGGTCCTTGAGTCGAGGCAATTGGAAGTCGGGGTTCTATTGTGCTGGCTGGCGCCCTGCTCCGAAGCTGCATACGCTCAGAAAGCAGTAGGGAAGTCCAAGTAACCAGATGAGAGCATTAAGGCAGGCGCAGAGGCAAGGACTGGTGTGCCGCTTACTTGCAAGTGCACTGTCCCAGCACCATGAGTTGTGGGAGAGGCGCTTGGCGATGCCTCCGCACACAGGCCGGAGGCTCTGACAGAATCATGCCATGACTGTGCATGCGCAGAAGCACGAGGCATCAAGCGACTGGGGCTCAGCGGCAATCCGGTGGGCGATAGTGGTGCGAAAGCCATAGCGGCTGCTGCAGCTGCCAGCACCCAGGAGCTTGCCTTTGAAAGCGGCAGCGTAGAACACGTCACACAACGTGAATTGGCGCGAGGATCCACGCTGCTTAGGCTTCGAAGCTTCCTGGGGCTTGGAGCAGCTAGAGCTGGCTTGCACCCAGGCGAGAACATGCATTGTCATCGCACGGGGCACGGTCGCCTTCAGAGATCTTGCTAACGGAATCCGTCCCGACACAGCTTTCTCCAAAGTTCCACCCCGTCAGAACTTGGCATATTGCTGATCCGACTGCTGGCAGCTACAGTCTGTGCAAGCCCCGTGCAACCAATCCCTCAGCCCATGTCGACAGACTCTTCTGCCACTTTCATGTCCGTCGGAACTCGCGGTTCCAGCCGAGTTGTGAGAGCAGGTTGGCTCGGAGGGATGTGATGCCCTGGCTGGTGCCGTCGCTGCTCGAGCAGCACTGGCCGACAAAGCAAGCCGCCGCCTTGCAGAGATCCCGTCAGCCGCTCGGATGCATAAAAATGATTTCACCGTGAGGCTCGGGAATGGCTCGGACCGGCTCGGAGTTACGGAATTTTCAGAGCATGGCCGCTAACAAGATGACCAAGAATTGCCGACGGGGAACGCCTGCAAATTAAATAGAACAATTCAGAAATGAGTCCGGTTGCACAAGCCCGAGCCGCTGCAGCAATCCTGCGATTTTCCGCATGAGCCAGAGCTTTTTTCGAGATGACACATGTCTGCGAGGCAGAACTACTGGAAAGATGCAGCAGGCTGCACCCAGCAGGCACCCAAAGCTTTCTGCAAACCTGCCGCGGCAACATGCATCACTCAGCCTTCATGTTCGCTAAATACCTTGAGGGCTGACGGTCCTTGGGATGGACTGGATGGACGTGAGCACATGCCCCAGTTATGTCCAGCCAGCTGTTCGTGCTGCAATGTCTGTAATTCAGGCAATGCCGAAGTCGCAGAGATGCTGCGCACCGCCTGTTGCCGTATGGCAGCCCATTGGCCCACGAGCCAGGCGCGCAGAGTGCTTGAAGCTTCGCAGTGGAGGTTGCTAGGAGAGCGGCCAGGCTGTCGTGTCATCGTGGCTAACCCTCCAAGACGACATCGGTTTCCTGCAGGAGTGCTACACGTGACGCGGTCCTTTGCTCCGTGCCGACTTACAAGAGAGTGGCCAGGACTCAAACTTGGAAGCAGACGAGCTGGCACACAAGGAGGTGGGAGAAACAAGCAGGGGCTGATGATGACAGCATCAGCCAGAGTCCTTCGTACTGCTGATCGCATAGGTGTGTCAAACCGCTTGACATGCACATTCCTGCACTGACATTCGCAACCCCGTAAACAGCTCTAGCTGAGCAATATGGACACCAAGATTTCCTACGTCCTAGTGCTGCGATCAAGGCCCTCGACTGAGCCTTAGAGAACGCTGCCCCCCAAGCATATTGACTAGTTGTATAGGCAGGTGCGCCATGACGACTGCAACAATAAGTCAAACAACGTTTGGACAGTTTCCAGTGCAACAACAAGAAACAGAGTTGGAGTGTACTTGTTTGTGTTCGCTTGTCAGTCTCCTGTGCTGCCTTGTCAATAGCCCGGGTGTCAAAGCAGGTCGGAGAAGATTACATGTCAGTCGGAGATATTCGGACGACGACAGCACGAAAGCCCTTCGTCTCGCACGCTCAGTTCGCAAAACTGCTGCTAAGCAACTAGGAAAAGGGCAAGTTGGCGGGAAACATATATCGCCAGCCAAATTCAAGGACACCTGACGAAATATTGGGGATACAAGGAATGTCGTGAGCAATTCCTGCAAGTCTTGCAACCTCTTCTCAGATAGCTTTCTGCCGCACTCAGACAAAACTTAGATATATAGGGTAAGTAATTCCTGCAAGCCTTTTTTTTGTTGGCCTTTTCTCACACAAATCGATCCTAAGAGGAAGGCGCGGAGGAAACGATGCTGGTGCGAAGCCTATTGGTCTGCCAACTTGTCCATGGGTTGCGGGCCTGGATGCTGATTCAGTTGGCGACTCGAACATCGACGTTTTAAGGGAGAAGGCGTGGGTGCCTTCCCTATGGGCGCACCGAAACAATTGCGTTATTTGGGATGCGGGCAGGGATGGTTTCCCAATGAATTCAACGGGACAGTCGACAGTATTCGCAGGGTCCAGGACCAGGATGTGTTGCAAAGCACAGTCACCTGTGTAAGTGCGGCCGAACGTTTGGCCGGAGGGCTCAGCTAACCCGAATGGTGTGCGCACTTGCTGTCGGCAAGTCAACCTGTCTCCGCAGATCACTCCGTGGCGGTTTGGCACGCCTGGAACACATTTTCGGATGATTCGCTAAGACTTTTTTCGATTGCAGTTACTAGTGATTACTAATGCCACAACCTGGCGGCACGGGCGAGACATCTGAATTGAGCGAAGCCATATGCCGCGCTGTTGCCGGTCAGTCGACTCGTTGTCCAACTATTATTGGTGATTTCTGACCTGGTCCGTTGGCGATCCTGATCGCCTCCGTGCATGTGAGTGTGTGCATGCATGTGTCAGCCTGCAAAGCCACGGCTCGTGATGCCGACGAGGTGGGCCTTGGACACATCAAGCTGCGTGACTAAATTGTTCCTCCAACTCCAGTGATGGAGGCCACTGTCTCCACCTGCACCCCTCTGCTAAGGCTGGATGAGTTTTATTTCAGCCGAGTCTTTGAAGGAAGCGATCCAATGTCAGAAAAGTGTGGAACTGAGACAATGTCAAATCTGGCCACATGCTGTCGATCTAAAATCTTAACCGATGTTCGGTTGCACAGGCCGAGCTTGCACGTGCCGAGGCAGAGATCTTCAGTCACTCGGCTGCTATCGACATTATTAATTTGCACATTGGCAGCTTCCGGCACAAGCTTGCTTGGGTTTTGAAAGTATTTCCATCAATGCTTAGGCGGGCCATGAGTCAGTGTGAGTGTTTGTCGTGTCCCGTCCTGTCGTTTCCGGTCTATGTCCAGGAGTTCTGGGTCCAATGCATGCAAGTAGGCAAGTGATACTCGGCAGGAGATCAGGCTTGCACTGACTGACCTGATCCAACGAAGCTAGGTCACTCGTCGAGAGGTGACTTGAGCTCAGTCATGTACCTGCTTCTGACATGGCCGGAGGCAAAGCCATAAACCGCTTCGTGGCGTTTAAACTTGCTTGTGACATCTTGTTGACGCTGTACATGGTGATGTTGGAAGACTTTCCGTTCGTTGCAGAAACAGAGACTTGCTACTCAAGTGATCTCAAGTGGTTCGAAACCTGGCGACACATTGTGTCAAGTGTGACTCACAACGGTATTCCCTATGGGCGCCGTGTCTCCTAAAAGTTGCTCTGGAGTTAATTTCCGATTGATTCGGCGACATTTCGATGCCTTGCTAATGTAAAGCACGTCATCGTGTGCAAAACAGTCAACAACTGATAACTGCTACAGTCGAACATTCGCACTCCGAAAGAATTCGGCATACAAGTTTTGAACAACTCACGGATGCTCAGGAGACTATGGGCGCATTGCATGTGATGACATGTCAGACTCGCCAAAATGCACTCCGCACCTCAACCACAAAGCGTGAGCCTCGAAACACCCACCGGCCCACCTCGGCCCAACATACACCCCTCGGACACGAGCATGCATGGTCGGCTTCCAATACCATCAGGGACGCGGACATGCTGCGGTTCTAGATGGCCCTGCCAATTGTAAGCAATGTTTACAATGCAAACCCGGTCGTGCGGAGAGACAAACCGGGCCGCTGCGTCGAGGTTTTGGTCCGAAGTATGAGCATGCATGCGAGCATAAAGCGGCACCGGCGGTGCCCACGAAGCATCACATGCTTTACCTCAGTTTTTGCCTCCCACCTAGCTAGGACGAAGCCCGCATTGCAGGGTACAGCCGAAAGCAAAACAGACCCTCATGTGCAGGTAACTATTGACCAACACAAGACATCTAGACTCCTAGGCAAAGTGACTAACGACTCTTTGTTGTCACCGAGCTCTGAAGTTAGCAACAAGCCATGTGCACGATTGCCTGACACTTTCCCTAGAGGCATCGCACACTGGTTTACCTACGTAAAGCAAAGGCAAGTCTCAGAAGACGTGTCCAACAGAACTCGCGGGCAACACGACGGAGGAGGACGACTAGGCGTAGCACTTGACATCACCTTGATTTCCGGCCACATGCTGAATTCCTGGTTGAGTGCTGGAAGTGGCAATTGCCCAAGCTAGAAGGGCAGTTGTCCCGAACTGCTGTCACTGTTCGTCACAACCACAAGAACATTCGAAGGCAGACTGGTGATGGTTCAGAGAAGCTATGTTCGCCGTCGTCATAGCCCTTCCCTGATTCCATGTCCGTGCTTGCGTTGATTTGTCTGTCGAGACGTATGAATGCTGCCGAACGGTACCACTCAGATTTTTGACACTCCTTGAGCGTGATTGTTTCGTCGGTTACCTGAAGGCGGTGAGAATCTCCCTGATGTCCTCTGAAACATTTCGTTCATGGTCTTCATTGCATCACGGCGCATCAATCAGAAGCTGCGACAGCAAAGAGCGGTCAGCCACCGCCACCTCTGCCTCCCCCACGTGCTCCAGGCACGGCATCCCTTCCTCCCCCTCCCGCCTATACCTGCCAAATTGTTCCCAGCAACCGTGCTCCAACCTGGCTCGAGGGGTACCATGACTCAGGCAAGTGGACGAGAGTAAATGCCGGTTGTCACATTTCATGCTGATCGGTGTCCAGACTTCATCATGTCGCATTGTTCGGCTGATCCTTCCCTCCTCTCCGTTGTGAGCTGGAACTCGTATGGTTTCAATCCTGGATATGCAAAATACACCGGCAGCAAACCTGATTGCGGTCGGGTCATATATGGACAGGCGATTGCAGGGCTGCGCAGCAGGTGCGCGAACAACAGCGAAGACATCGGCGCACGAGTCTCGCTGTTCAAGCCATGCGCCGAATTTGGACAAGCCTTTATTTCCAGGCCTTCCGTGCAAGCACAAGTGGTTACGTCACGCAGTGCATCAGAGCGCCCAGATCCAGCGTCTTATTTTTGCTCGCCAAGTGGCGTGGCCCAGAAATTCAGAAATTATTTCAACGACGAGGATTCCTTAGCACAGCGGGCTGGCGGCCACTCCACCAGCTGCAAGTGTGAACTTTTTCGGACGGTGGCGCCCGAATCCCCAACCTTTTCGGGACACATTGCAGGCACCGGCACTGCTTTCACAGCCTATTGTGGAAAAGTACATCATCAACGGCTCCATGGCCAACACTTTCTTCTCAGACAAGAAGCACATCTACCAGCAGTCTGCGGAGGCATGGTTAAAATGGTGCAAGGCCAATAAATGACCTGCCCGGCCCGCCCCAACAACTTCGGCAGGTATTTGGCCGCTGTCTGCCGCAGCACAACCGTGAGGACCACCACCCCGCTCTGCAGTGCTTCTGCCCTGCTTTGTACCACACTATGTTGTCTGGAACCTTTAGGCACAAGGCGGTGAGCCACAAAAGGTGCAAAAGGCTACCAAGCGCACCTTACAGAAGAGATACGGCTGAACACTCACCCGACGCGTGCTGTCTGCACACGTGCTACCCAGGACCCAAGCGAACAAAAGACTGCTGGACCGGCTGGCCCATCGTATCTTTTGTGGAGGCTTTCATGAGACAGCTGCTGGAAGCCACTGGCCGGTTGCTACAACGGATCTGCAGCATTGCCTTCCCCTTGGCATTTGCTAGACTGCTAGAGCAGATGTTTATGATCTCTTGGTGGAAGTACGCTCATTCGTAGCTGCCCAAATCAATTCTGCTTCAAGGTCCGTTCTGCTTCATTTCATGGTTCTGCTTCAACTTGCATTACCCTGGACTAGCCTTGTGGTCCTGTGAAGGGATGGAGGGTTTTTGCATGGTCGATGCTTTGCCCCAGAGCTGGCCTAAGGTTACGCTGCTCCAAATCCGTGGTGAGGGCAGAAACCTGGACTTCGTGCATGTGCGCTACGAGCACTGGAAGAGGGAGCTCTCTTCTACGTTTGAGTCCGAGCATTGCCTGAATTGAGACGAAATGCGAGAATTTGTGGGTGGGGAGCTCTCCTCTCATCTCTTGTCGCGGAATCTCCGCGCATCTTCTGCAATCGCGCGGATTATCCACGAATCTTTCAATCAAGGGGACTATCCGCGAAGCTCTCATTCACGAGCACAGCCGCGAGACTCACATCCACGCAGAGTATCCGCGATTCAGGGTCTGATCCGCGGGTCTTGGGCCCTTCCACTGACTCAGTCGCGGACTTTCCGAGCAAACATCTTCTGCAGCAGTTCCAAGCTCGCGGAGGAGCCGCGATTCTGGTGTGTGCCGGGCTGGGTTTTCTGTCTCCCTGTTTCTCTGTCTCTCTCTCTCTCTCTCTCTCTCTTTTCTTCTCTCTGCCTCTCTCTCCCTCCCTCCCTCCCTCCCTCCCTCCCTCCCTTTCTCTCTCTCTCTCTGTCTCTCTCTCGCTCTCCCTCTCTCTGT